AAGGGACCTGGAAGAAGCACTTGCCAAGCTGCTCTCCACCATTTAGCATCAGTACTGAATAACTGAGGAGGCTGACGACTGGAGTCTGGCTAATGTGATGCCCGCCCACAAGAAGGGTTAGAAGGAAGATGTGGAGAACTACAGGCCTGTCAGCCTGACCTTGGTGCTGGCAAAGGCTATGGAACAGATCATCTTGAGTGTGATCATATAGTACATGCCAGACAACCAAAGGATCTGACCCAGACAGCATGGGTTTGGGGAAAGGCAGGTCTCACCTGACCAACCTGATGTCCTTTCACGACCAGGTGATGTCCGCAGAGGGTGAGGGAAAGGCTGTGGATGCTGTCTACCTAGAATTGAGAAAAGTCTTTGAGACAATCTCCCACAACATTTTCCTGGAAAAGCTGGCAGCCCACAGCTTGGACAGGAGCACTCTTTGCTGGGTTAGAAACTGGCTGCACAGCCAGGCCCAGAGAGTGGAGGTGAACGGCGTCACATCCAGCTGGGGGCTGGTCACCAGTGGTGCTCCTCAGGGGTCTGTGCTGGGGCCAGGCCTGCTTAATACTTTTATTTATGGTTTCGGTGAGGGGGTTGAGTGCATCTCACCAAGTTCACAGGTGACACTACATTGGGTAGAAGTGTCCACCTGCCGGAGGGCAGGAAGGCTCTGCAGAGGGATCTGGACAGGCTGGATTGAAGGTGTGAGGTTCAATGAGGCCAAGTGTCAGGTCCTGCCCTTGGGTCACAACAACCCTGTGCAGTGCTACAGGCTGGGCAGAGTGCCTGGAAAGCTGCCCAGCAGAAAAGGGGGATGCTGGTCAACAGCACCTGGTGGACAAGAAAGCCAATGGCATCCTGCCCTGTATCAGCAATAGTGTGGCCAGTAGGACCAGGGCAGTCCTTCTATATCCAACACTGGTGAGGCCACATCTCAAGCTGGGCCCCTCATGAACAAGAAACATTCAGATGCTGGAGCAAGGCCAGAGAAGGGCAAAAGGGCAGGTGAAGGGTTGGAGCTGGAGAGGGTAATTCCTATGAGGACTGGCTGAAAGAGCTGGGGTTGCTCAGCCTGAGGAAGAGGAGGCTCAGGGATGACTTTATCACTCTCTGCAACTGTCTCTGAGGAGGCTGTAGCCAGGTGGGAGTCCATCTCTTCTCCCAGTTAACCAGTGGCAGGACAAGAGGACACAGACTCAGGCTGCACTGGGGTGGGGGGGTTCAGGTTGGAGATTAAGAGGCATTTCTCCACTGAAAAGGGGGTCAGGCAGTGCACAGACTTCCAAGGGAGGCAGTCAAGTCACCATCCCTAGAGGTAGTCAATAAATGACTGAACTGACAACCAGTCTATGATTGACAATGGGTGTTTGGTTGAGAGTTGGACCTGATCTTGGAGCACATCTGAAATACCTGTTGAACACCAACACACGAAGTATGAGAAACAAACAGGATAAACACCAAGCACTGGTTAGTTCCCAGAGCTATGACTTCTTTGGTGTCAGCAAGACTTGGTGGAACAAGTGCCACACCTGGCATGCTGGGATGGAGGGCTGCAGGCTGTCCAGGAGGAATGGGCAGGGCAGGCAATGTGGAGGAGTTGCACTGTATGAAAAGGGGAGGTTTGAGTGCACAGCCCTTACCGTTAGTGATGATGTGGGTGAGAGACCCTGGCTTCCAGGGAGCATTGTTGTAGTGTCTGCTAACAACAGGCACTCAGGAGAAATCTCTGGGTTGGTATCTTGTTCTTACTGGAAATTGCACCTCCCCAGACATCTACTGTGAACACCGTACTGCTGTGACAATCAAATCTGAGAAAAGTGTGAAGTTTGTAGGAAATAACTTCTGGTCACAAGTACTCAGTGGGACAACTAGGAACTAAAGCCTCCTAGGCAGAGGACTCTGTCAGGGGAGGTTCAGGAAGTATTTCTTTAACAGGAACGTGGCAAACACTGTAACTGGCTTCTTGGCTGACACCCTCAGCATGACAGTGTTCAAAAGATATTTGGATAATGCCCCTAACAACAAGTTTTAACTTTTGGTCATTCCTTAAGTGGTCAGGCAACTGGACTAGATGATCACTGATAAGATTCCTTCCAACTGAAACACTCCTATTTATTTTGCAAATACTTATCACTTGCATTTTTCCATACTGAGTCAACATTTGCATGAAGCTACTATAAATGCCAAGATCCCTTTTCCCCAAGCTTCAAAGTCCACACAGAAAAAAACCTCACTTTTTTTTTTTAATGTAAGGAGAGTCCTTTCTGTCCATGGCCAAGATTACAATGAAATTTTACAGGCCAGAAACATGGTATGAGGAGGTTACATACCTCAGGGGTTCAGCTGCCTGCATCCCAAGGATGCAAGGCTGAGCTCCAACACAGTAAAACTATATAACTTTGACTTAGAATTGTAAAAAAACAGCTAAGTTGTGAGAAAGAACTTGTGACAAAAATATATAGAAAGATAGAAATGAGACAGGAGTTGCAAGTCTAAAATAGGGATCACTAGCTGCTCAAAGACACATGGCAAAGTAATTAATCAAACAGAAAGGTAAAAAAATCTGATAAAAAAAAGGTGAAGGTGGGAGGGTCACTACCAGTCATCACATTTTGCAAAGCACAAGTGCTGGAGGTGAAAGCAAACAATTCAGCAACACTGTGGATTTGCCAGAGCTGCTGAAGGAGATTCTTTTCCTGGCTGAGGTCTGTCTAGACAACAAAGACTTCTAAGCATATTTATTGTCAGCCCCACTGCTCATGAAGGCTGGGCCACAATCTGTGACTGCTAGCCACTACCTGGTAACTTTGTACTTCTGCATTTAGCTGTGCAAAGTGTGTTGCTACAAGTAAGATGCTCAACCAAGCCGACCTAATGAGGGGAGGTAACAGACAAATAGAGACAAAGTCAGCCTCAACACCTCCTGCCTGAACGGTGAAGACTGAAAACAAGATCATCAACCTGCAATTTACAGCGATATTTGGAGACCTGAACTCAGTAAATAGGGAAAATATCCATTATCCATAGTTGTAAAAACATGGAAATTACCATCTTCTAGATAAAATTCCTACCTTTCCAACAGAAGATTTGGAGATGCAAAGTTATTCAGAAGTGATACTCTCCAACGCACAGATTAAAAGCTTGGAGACACTAAAAGTGTATTAGGTTTGTTGTCTGCTGGTTTGTAACTATGTTACACTGATCTGAATGAGTAAAAAAGGAATATGTTCTTCTTTGAGAAGATAATAAAAGAAACACCAAGCATGTTTTTGAGCCTGGCAGACACTACCCGTGTAAGAAACCAACATGACAGAAATAATTCAGGTATCAGATATCTTTACTTTCACTGGAGAGTACAGTCCTTCTTCTGCATTTCAAAGGTTCTACAAACTTGTACACCTGCAGACAATATGTTTAAACCAGGAACAGATTAAGAGATGTACTGTAGCTTTCATATAAGAAGTCCCAATTCAAACTTCTCCATGCCTGAGCCATAATTACAATTTTATAAGTCAGTAAACTGAGACGGGCTTTAGAAGCTCATTAAGTTCTCTACAAAAAGACTGATTGCGCCAAGATAACTCGATAGTTCTGACTGCTGTTGTGCTGTGCCCATTGTATTACAATGTTTCCATGGATTTAATCAGTGCTGCTTTATGCTTAAATGACTTTATTTGCATGCTAGAAAGAAAGAGATAGACCCAATAGATAGTAAGCAAATGGATAATGAACACAGAACAAAGATACTGGATGAACAGGACTGACTGGAACATTAGCTACAAAAAAGACTAAAATTTGCTGCATGAATTAAGCAATTCAAGACATAACAGCTTTCCCTGTAGATAACACAGGAACCAATCATCAACCATCAAAACAAATTGCTTCTGACTGCATACATTTCTAGTGTTTGTAGTAAGGTGTTACAAACACATTTTATATATCTGAGAATACCATACATGTACACAAATGGTGTTATTCCTGAAAAGCAGTTATTCAACTCAGTTATTTTCTTTTAATTTTTTTTTGTATTTAATGCTTTTACAAAAGAAAAGACTTAGGACATACAAAAAAATGTACTTCAAGAAGACAAATAATTCTTATTACTTCAATAGTCTTCTGTGCCACAGTTTGACAAATACCAAGGTAATGAAAAGTCTTCGCTGACTGGCCATATAACACTGGCCTGTTGAAGTAAAGCTAAATAAAGCCTTGATGCAAAGTTGCATGACACCATAAATGACCTGTGAATGCAGAAGAGGAGACGGAAGTACAGCAGTTGAAGCCCCTCCACCCTGTGGTGATGAAACTCATGTCAGACCTCTAAGCGGACACTCAGCCAGACATCAGTTCCTAATAAAAGACGCAATGACACCCTCAGTAATCAAGGGGTAACAGGCATCAGAAGGAGGGCAGAAAGGGGCTTAGCTGTAATCTCTCCCCCTAGCATTACTACCCTTCAATTTCATCTATTATTGTATCATAAACCTAACCTAAACAGCAAAATTCCTTGGCTTAAGATGTGAGAAAGACCTCTGGAAAAGTCTATAGAAAGATAAATACAGTTAGACCTCAGACTGTTCACAAAGGTTGTTGGTAGCTTGTAGCTTTAAGAGGAGGTAAACCCACCAACAAGGAAAAGCATAAAATGCAATTGGGGAAAAAACCCAAACCAAGAACAACAAACATGGCATGGACATCACCTGTCATCAGCTATTTGAGTCATCAGTACTGGGGTCAGTTAAAGGTTGCAAGGCAGCAACCTCAAGCACTTGCTCCACAACACCATGCAGTCTGATCTTCCTTGTTCAAACACTAGTCCAGCCAACTGTGATTTTCTGGGGTTTCAAAGGACATTGTGGGGGTTTTAAGGGATGTGGGGGTTTTCTGTCACTGCTATAGAGCATGAAGGGAAATGCAGGTACACATAAAATAACATTTGGCAAATGAACATTCGGAAGTCTACAGAATACTGGCATCTTCCATAAAAAGGGCTCAATACTTACTGTGCACACATGAGGCCAGTTCTCAAGCTGATAGAGCACTTCTGTGCTCAGGTCCTCCCAGTACATTTCCCGATATATCTGAGACATCTTTGACAGTCTGACACCACTGCTGTACTTGCTCAGCAGCTCCTTAATGCGACTTTGAAGTTCATGGATATCAGCAGCAGAAGAGCCAGGGGCAACAGTATGTGCCTCTGCAGTGGATGTATTCAAGCTATCTGTTAAAAAAAATTACAGCCTTGAAGTAAACACAGCCCTACCAACAGAAAGACAGATCATTACCTCCGTACTTAAAACTAAACATGGGATCTGCCAGCATAGCACCAACTTTAAAACGTGGCTCTCCCACCCAGCATGGCTGGTTCAGTGACTTCCTATGGCAAAGAACTATGGAAATCTCAGACACTAAGTAACTACCTAAAATGAGTTTTCAATCACTGTAGTTATTTTCGTAAAATGTTGCTACGTGTTATTTCTGAAGGAATTCTGGAAGAGAATACAGAACTGCCAGCCCCACTGCAGCTAAGACACTGCACTAAGATAGTATCCCAAGAAGGGCCCAGGATAATTTCTTTATGAGTACAAACACCAGAAAGATATTGCATGACAACCAAGAATGTTCTTCTATATTCAGATGGGTGTACAAAACAGACCAATGATTTGCCTTTCATTCCAAGATATGTCCTGAGGAAAAGTCTCCACCCAATAAGCAGCTTTTCTGTGCTATGGCATCCAAGGAAGCCCTCCAGTGGAGCAAGGAAAGTGACAACTGCTTAGCTGCTCTGGGCAGTTTCATATATTGAAACTCCTCAGGCACTCATTATTCCAGGGGGAGGTTCACACCACTAGCTTACCTGCTGCCTCATCTCTACTGCTCTTCTCCCTTTGGTGAACTCTATTTGCTACCAGACCTGAAGCTTCACAAATCAGACTGACAAGTCTCAAAGAAAGAAACCATCATTTTGCAAGCCTATCAGCTGCACAACTGTTGAGCCATGCAGGCAGAAGAGTATTTGCTGGACAGATACATTAGTAATGCTGCTTACTCCTGAAAGCCAGGATTTCATCCTTATACCAGACTCCTACCCCACTGGTGAAGTAAAGCCTCCTCCTCCCATTTCCAAACTCCTCACACTGGCTTTGTGATTTGCTTTGACACTTACTGCCCAATGTTTTTCCTAGAAGGCAGAGGCAGACAAGCAAACGCACATTTCCTCAGCACAATGAAATAAGAGTGAAAAGGTTCACTTACAGAACTTGATTCCTCATCCAAGCCCATCTTCATTCAAAACAACTAATAAGATGAGTTTTTTTTAAGATGACACTCTCTCTGAGTAGTAAACAAATAATTTCTCAATGGGCATACCATTTGACTCTGTGGAAGAGCTTCTGGACAGGTGAACTTGCAACTCCTTTTGAAACCGTGGTGGGACAGTCAGCCTCTTCTCAGATCTAAAATTGGAAAGAAAATTGCTTAGAATCACTCCTCTTTCTCTAAATAACATTCCATTTGCTTCTAAGACTTACACATAAAATAAAATGCATTCCACACATTCCATACACTCCTAGAAGGCCTCCTGCAGCAGTAGCCAAAACGTCTTTGTCAGGAAGACAACCTGATCAGCAGTAACAGGACAGATCAACGGGTAGTTTATTAATTTTTCCCATTATTGTGAGAAACAAAACACAGTAAAAAGACATTAGCAAAGGGAAAGTATCTAGGAGCACATAGGCATTCTAGGTCTTTTTGTGGATGCTGTTGGTTACATTGTTTAGGAGATTCTCCTCTGAAAATCTCTCCCACTGAAAGCACACAAATGTTGCGCTTGCAGGTGTTCTTCAGAGGAAGAATACAGACTCTACTTGGGAATACAGACACTAAAATGAGCTCTTGACACTGAAGAGAGCACAGCACTGTGTAGCTCACAAAGACCTGGAAAAAAAATCAGCTGTGGAATAATGACATACACTGCAAGCAAAGGGGAACAAGACTTGGAGAAGGGAAATCAAAGACTAGGCAACATCTCCACCATAGCACAGCAGGTTGCTCTGAACCAGGCACCTCCTGATCAGAGCAGACCCTGCACACCCACTGGGCAGGCTTTGCAGAAGATCTCTGCCCAGGGCCAGTTCTGGAATTCAGAGATAACAGTGGAGCAAGCCATAAACCTCACCAGTTGCAGAAACACCAAGGGTGATTTTCACAGCTTCACCTGGACTCTGAGAAGGTAGGACAGTAGTTCCAGAATGATGCTGTGGCTAGTTGCAACAGGAAGTCAAGACCAAGAAGCCCTATATGTCATCACATTGACTTGTAATCAGAGCATATCCATGAATCAGAAAGAGACCTCCCACATTCGTGTCTTTTCTGAGAAGCATGTGAAAAGATTTAACATTAATTTGTCTCCCCTGCTTTTATGCTATCCCTGTTAGATGAAACCATTGTTCCTCCATCAGCTACGGGATATCACTTGTACCAAAGACCATACTTCTGTTCTGAGTCATGTCCCACAGCACTAGCTATGAGGACAGGCACTGCCCAGCTCAGCAATTTACACAACAGGAATCATGCCCAGAAGTGCTGGCAGCAGCAGATCAACTACAAGCACATTTATGAAACTCGGAAAGTACAAAAGCAAAGCCACCCACACAAAATCAAAACTTCCACTCACACCTGACACTTGCTGGGTATCTGAAAAGCCTCTTACAACACTCATCTGCACTACAGAAAAGCCTTCTACATTCTGGGCACACCCCAGATGCCCACACTAAGTAGCAGCAGTCTCTTCTTAAAAGCTGTGGCTGCCCACGCAGATGCTACAAGAAATTCAGGATCCCTCTTCTTTGTACATGTACCTACCAGTATGGACAACTCTAAGCTGAACAAATACTCAAGCTAAAAAAGTCCTCTAAATGGAAGCACACTCAAAAGAGAGTACCATCTTCGCTAGGCAGAAAGCAAAACAATCCTGTGAAATAGCCCCATGGGTAGTGGAGACTGTCCTGCTACCTCTGCCTGCCAACAGGAATCCATAGCTGTGTTCTAGTCCTCTGTGCCATATATCAGGTGACACAAGTGATGTGACTGCAGGGTAGGCCAGCCAGAACTGCAGGCAAGTTCCAGTGAGAAAGAGGGCAGATATTCCCTGCTTAAGCCATGCCATGTGAACGCCCTGGAAAGAAACCTGTAACAGAGCAGGGATGATTCCCTTCCGCTACATGTAAAAGCTAATTGGATTTGGGATCCTCTCAGTATTAAGAGACTTTATGTAGGGTCTTCCTGTGCTTTCTGTTGTGGTTCAACAGTTTCCCATAACGAAACTGTCATCCAGCTTTCCAAGCTGACATGGGCTTTGAGCGCAGCCATCACCAGATCTGAGTGCTGCAATCAGACAAGAATTGTGTGACGTGCTGCTTGCTCCCACAGATCATGATGGTCCTACGTCTCCACAGTGAGATGGGATATGGCCAGACAGTGCCAGGGCCAACATGCTTCCCTACAGTTTGCACTTATGGACAACTCAGCTACTTGCAAGGCCTCATGTTCCTCAGCTGCTGGAAGCCTGCTCCCAGCACGAGGCTTCCTAGCCACACCAGCAGCCTGGCCCTTCACAAATGCCTGAGCCGCCATGCAGCCCTGCCAAGTCCCCATGTTACTATATGTTTGTTACTATAAAATACAGGAAGTATTTTATAACATTTCAAGATTTGTAATGTGTGAAATAAAATTAGGTAGATGTCACCCCTCTTCTGGCTATTCCTAATGTAGTCTGCTACATCTTGTGTTATCTTTATTCATCTCTGGCAGTCTCTCCTGAACTCCTTTTAGGTAAGTTTTCCGCCTTTCTTTCTGTTGTCTCTTTCTGCCCTGCACTGTAGGAGAAGCTACAAGCAAAGTCTGCTTTGGCCCATCTGTTTTTGGAGGAGGAGACATCTTGTGACTGAGCAGCTAGTCACGTCTCACTGCCACACATCACTGCCTCACAACGAAGAGGAGCAATGTCCTTCGCTGCCAAGTGCCTTATCTTGGTGAGGCCCATGCCACCCCAATCTGCCCTCTGGTGCTTCGACAGTGCTATCTAAGCAGCAAGGCCAGGTAGTGGCCAGCAGCAAATGGCTCCTGCTGCTTCAAACAAGGGTGTCACCAAGCACCCAAACCTGTTTTCATCCATGCTGCTGCCTTCCAGCCTCAAGGATCTCTGCAGTTAACCAACAAGGTCTCTCCCTGATTCTCAGGGTCCACAGCAACATAGTCAGGATAACTTCAGAGATTGCTGCTCTAAAGTCATGTGAGTGTGACAGAACCGGGAAGACAACCAACCTGTTCCCTTTCCACCAAATGCTACACAGGGGAAAGCCCCTGAAGCTGTGGTCATAAAAATCTCTGAAAAAAATATCACAAAGCACTACAGAGGTGAGACATAGACTTTGGCAGTCACAAAAAAACCATCATTTCCAGCCTCATTGAGGAGCTTCACTACATGATACGGGGTGGAGCACCAATACCTGTCAGCATCGAAAGTCTGTCACTGGCAGACATTGTGTCAAGGCAAGGAACACACGTCTGCCATAGCAGTACAGATGTTCAACAGAAAAGAACAGAGACCCTTATGTGCTACCATAAGAGCATGGGTGTCCTTTCCTACCATGTGGGTACATGGAGGGGCAGGGTGGGTAACAGAAAGGCAAAAACTGCACACAGTTAACAGCTCACTCCAAACTGGGAAATGGGGCAAAGAGTCTGTCACCCTCAGGACTTGTCTCAGCCTACCTGAGCTGTGAAGGCTCAGTCACTCTCATAGGCAAGTGCTGACACCCCTGCTGGAATAGCGTCCTCAAGCTCGTGCCAGATAACTATGAGGCTGCTGTCAGCCCAGGATTTTTGGGGATGCTGCCCAAAACTCCACTCACTGCACACTGTTTTTTGAAGTCAGGACCTCCTGGCTCAAAGAAGCTTTCCCTCCTGCAATTCCCAAAGTACAAGCAACTACAATGGTATAGGAGGTACAAAATGTCCCCAGCAGCAAGGACACATGGATCTTGCCAGCCCTGCCTCAAATTGGCCAAGTTGAAACAAATTAACAAATTAATCCAGTCACACACAACCTTGTATTCACATGGAATATGAATCGCATCTCCCTGAACTCTCCCTTCACTATGTACCCAAGCTAACAGGATAGCATTTGGACTCTTTACAAAAGCACAAGATGTCTCCTCCTCCAAAAACAGATGGGCCAAAGCAGACTTTGCTTGTAGCTTCTCCTACAGCTCAGGGCAGAAAGAGACAACAGAAAGAAAGGCAGAAAACTTACCTAAAAGGAGTTCAGGAGAGACTGCCAGAGATGAATAAAGATAACACAAGATGTAGCAGACTACATTAGGAATAGCCAGAAGAGGGGTGACACCTACCTAATTTTATTTCACACATTACAAATCTTGAAATGTTATAAAATACTTCCTGTATTTTATAGTAACAAATTTGGAGAAAACTCTAAGTGCTCTTTTTGCTTTGCCTGAGGCAAAGTGCCTCTGCCTTTTAGAGAAGTGCCACTTAAAAATATGCAACTCATCTGCACACACAGAAAAGGGAAGGCCCAAGCACAGATGCTCCTACTCCTTTCTGAGTCACAGCAGGATAGCTTGGTCCTTCTCTGCACAACAGACCCCGGATGGCGCATGGAACTCATGCAGGTGGGTGAGGCAGGACATGCCTGCTTTCTGTGGATCTTCCAGAAAGAGCAGGAACCACAGCAGGATTCAGCTGTTGTGCTGCTCTGGGCCACTCCACAGATACCACGCCACTGCATTTCCATTCAACGCCAGGCTGACTCCCAACCCAGCCCAGGCCGGAGCCCTCCCCCTGCAGAGGATTACTGCCACAATCACAGCTCCGCAGGACTTAGCACAGCCACAATGGGCAACAGCAAACACTTTCTCACCACCGTCAGCTGATGGCCCGGGGCGGCCAAAAACAACACAGAAAGAAACGATGGGGCAGCAGCTGACTAAGCCCCCGGGATTAGAGAGGCTCAAACGGGGCTGAAAAGCAGCATGTAGCGCTAGCCCAGCAGAACTGCAGCTCCAGCCCTCAGCTCAGCTCACCCAAACACGGTCAGCCGGCTCCTGGCTCCCAGCACGCCGAGACGGGGCACAAACACTGACGCTGCAACACAGAGTCAGGCAAGAGGGAAAGAACAGCCACCTGCACAACCATCACCCTCAACACACACATCACCTGCCCCTGCACACAAATCTGCTCCTCCTCCTTTCTGTCACACTGGCCACAATAGCTTCCTCCTGGCCCCAGGCAACAGCTCCACACTCCCTTGCTGTGACACCTTTGGCCACATTTCTCCAAAACATGTGAACAGGCCAAGAGCACAGACTAGCTATAGCAGCACCCAAAATGGCAAAACATCATCTGTCTCCTTCCTGGGTACCATCCCATATTCAGACTTCACCTGCTACAAGGGCAGGGGCCTGGATTCCCACTGGATCCCAAAGGACACTGCTTGCATGGCAGCATCCAAGTGTCCATCACACTTCATTTTCCCCTTGTGCGCGCGCGCACACACACACACACACACACACACACACTGACCTGTTTACCACAGTGACATGCCTCTGCATGGGGATTTCTTTAGGTGGTCCACTCCCAGCAGCTGAAGGTAAGGCAGATCGGGCACTCTCCACCACAGGTTTCACACCTCCACATGCCACTTCTCTGCCTCGGGGCAGGCGAGGAACAGGCCTCTTAGAACTGCCTTCTTCTGGCATGTTCAAAGACCGGGGCTGCCGCAAAGTTCCTTTGGGCTTTCCTAAAGAGTTTGCAGATGCAACCATGATTAGCACTCTTCTCCACCCAGTCTACCTCCGCCTCCCCAGGCACCCAAAGGGTGTACTGCCACCCAAAGGGTTCCTTCTCTACTCTGGTTTGTGGGCACCTGAACTCCCACCACACAGCAGAGGTAACCAAGTTACACCCAGAGGAACACACCAGCATTCAGGCCACACTGGGATAAACAAGCTCTTGGTCACTTTGCTGTTTATATGCTGGATGCGCCACATCACTTTTGGAGGTTTCAAACACTTCCAAGGGGATTGATGTGCAAGACAGTGAATCAACCTGCCTTTATAACCCCTGTCATTCAACTGTGATATGAACCACCAGCTCAGCTTCCCAACTGGCATCCTTGTGGAAAAGCAAGAAGCAGCAAACACTTCATTACAGACAACAGGGGAGCACACACAAACTAGGAGACCCACTGTTGTTCCAAGCTGCCAACCTCCAAGCAAATAGGTCCTGCCTGGGCTTAAGCCTGGAATCAATTCCACAGACAGTCACAACAGCACGGCAGAGAGGAAAACCTGACCCATACTTTAGGAAAACACTGCTACAGAAGCTAATGCAAGAGGTAAGAGGTAAAAAGAGCCGAAAATGGGCCTCAAAACTTTTGTGGCGCTGGCATCAGCAACAGGAGATGCTGAAACAGCCACAGCTACAGGGACTCCTTCTCACTGTGAGGGAATGGTTCAATTCTCCCACTCCACAATAGGCCAAGGTCAGCCTTAAAGAACATGCAGGCTCATTGCCACATTTCTTGCCTGCATCTCAGTTGTGTTCCTCACAGAAGCAGGAGCACATGAAAGTGAAGCTACGCATCCTACAAGGACTTTGTTTTCCAAGATCATTCACATCTTGCATACACACCTGAAAAGGGCTTTCTCTCAGATCATGGCTTTCAGATATAAGCATCCTTGTCAAGAACACTCATCCTCGCAAGAACTCTCCACTTGGACTCTGTAACTTGTGGCCGTAGGTGACCCACCCTCACAGCCAAGACTTTTGTGCAGCAGCTGCACAGTTCTTTCATAAAGGCAGGCCCTGTAGAGCTGCCCATGGCTTACCTGATAAACTGACTGGTGATGTGTTCTTCAGCCTCATCTGACAGTTCACCTGCCGGACTGTTTTCTTCTTGGAACTCCTCTGTCGGGCCACCAGCTGAGCAACTCGTACAGTTTCATTGCAACTAACAGCATGGCAAATTACCTTGTTGGAGCAGGAAGAGGACAGGGGAAAAAGCAGTCAGTGAGACCCATGCTCATCCACAGCCCTCAGAATCATTTGTATCCCTTTCCAAGCTGTTGAATCATGCAGGCCAGCAGGCAGTTCAGGAAAGGCTTCAGCAGCAGATACAGATCTTGGAGATCTCACTCTCCTTTTGTGAAACCTCAGAAGAAATCTCAGTGAACCTCAGAAAGCAGCAAACCAGACAGCCAGAGCCTCTGCATCACCTTTCCACATTAGGTTGGGCCCCTCTGAGAAACAGCCTGGTTTCTAACTCCCATCCCACAGGCCCACCATCTTGCCTTATAATTCTGGAAAGCCATGGGGCTGCAACCTGTCCTTATTCTTTCTGGCAAGGCTCACTAGAGGCTCTGGCACCACGCTGACCCTGTGGAGCAGGGTTGCATTTGCCCCACTTACTGAAGAAATTGCACAACTATCCTGGCTGCACGATTCACAGGCACTGGGCTGGCCCCCAACAACAGCCCAGCCTTGAACCAGCCCACAGGTATCTCCCTGCTCAACTTCACGGCCTCTTGCCTCAACACCCAATCACCCCAGGCCATCCCATGGATGGATATAGGAACTTTGCCTTGGCAAGACACCAAACCATGTGCCTAGCATGCACTTTGCCTGAAAAGAAGATGGTAGCCCAAACTTTTGGGCCATTCAACTGCTGCAAAGGCAGCTGGGTGAGTACTCCTCCAGGACTCCATAGTACACAGGCAGTACCACAAAAGCAATAAGTTAAAATGTAAGTCTGGAGTCGCAGTCATGTTCTGTGATGGTGGTAGAGGTTGTAAAAGGGCCCCTTTCTCAACAGTGCCATGGGGTCAGCACTGCTACCTTGCTAGCCATAGCCCCCAAGGAACCTCAGAGATGACCATTTTGCACAGCAGCAGGGCAAGAGAAACTCAGGGATTTCACCAGCATCTCTGAAATTGACCAAACAGCAGCTTCAAAAAGGATCTTTTCTCACAATTAAGACAGGACAATCAAAGCAGAAAAACAACAAAAGAAAGAGATTGCTAAGCAGCAACAGCTTGGCCCAGGGATCTCTCTTCTTGTTCTAGGGTGACCCATACAGCCCAGGAAAACAAGGGCAATGGATGATGACACTAGAAGCCAGGCAACCCCTCCAGCAGTGCTCTCCAGGGAAGAATGAGCTCCTCTTTGGCAAACCCAGCACCTTTGCTGGGCTGGCTCAGCACAGAGCCACTGCCAGGAGGGCCTCTCCTTCTGAGAGAGAGCTCTCCTACCCCAGGAACTCCTACTTACGGATCAGACAGTGTACCTGCTGCACAGCCAGCACTGATAAAAACAGCAATCCAGCAGTATCACCACCGTAGTGATTAAATGCCAGGAATCACAGAAAAATTAAGACTGGAAAACATTGCTACAGTCCATGTAATACAGCACCTTTGCTCAAAGCAGCATCAATTAGACCTAGTTAGTCAGGTGGTGGAATATCTTCAAGGACGAAGAACTCTCAACCACTCTGGAAAACTTCTTCTATTGTTTAGCCAGCCTCACTGTAAAAAAGGTGGGCTGTTTAATGTTTACATGGGACTACTTTTATTTCACTCTGTTATTGTTGTCTCTTGTCTGTTCACTGAATAACAATGAGAACCGGAGATGGAGTCGGGCTCCATGGTTTTTTTTACTCCCTTTAACAGACATAAGGATAAGATTTCCCTGAGCTTTCTCTTTTCCAGCACAAACAATCCCCGCTGTCTGAGCCCTGCCTCAGAGACGTTACATTGCAGCCCCTTCATAATCTTCACAATCATTCCGTGAACTTGCTTCAGTGTGGCCATGCCAGTCTTGTTCTGGGAAGCTTAGAAAAGGATGTGGTTTCACTGCTGCTGAGCAGAGGGGAATTATCACCCCCATTAGAGTGCTGGCAACTCTTCTTAATGAATCCAAGTATGCTGTTGGTCTCCCTTGCTACAAATGGCACCCTGCCCACTACGAACTCTGCACCCACCAGAACTCCAGGGCATTTGTCTGCCAAGCTACTTTTCAGTTGGTCGACCCCAAAACTATACAGGAATATGGGGTTTTTCTTCCCCAGGTGCAGGACTTGGCATTTGCATTTCCCTATACTAAACTTCATAGGGTTCTTGGTGCTCCAATTCTCCAGCTTCTTGAAATCTCTCTGAACAACGAGCACATTCATTTGCTCTATCAGTCTCTCCTGTCATCCACAGACTTGCTGAGGATGATCTCTGTACCATCACCTAGGTCATTCATGAACACGTTAGACAGAGCAGTTCTTGAGCATCTATTCCCAGGGCACATCACTTTTAAGTGGTCTCCCAATGGGTTTTGTGCCACTGTTACAGAAGAGGATATTACAAGCCCTACCAAAATTCAGTTAAACCACATCCAATGGTCACCACTCAACCAATCATCTCAACTTGAAGGGTATTTGTTTGTAACATATGATTTTCACTCTGTAAATCCATACTGACTTGCCTTCTTGTCTTTCAAGTGGCTGGAACAGCTTTCTAGGATTAGACGCTCAACAACTTTCCAACAGTTCAATGTCAGGCTGATCTTCCCATCCCACCCTTTCCAGTGAAGGGTGGTGCTTTCTTTCAGTCCTCAAGAACCTCCCACAAATTACCATGACCTTTCCAAGGTAACTGACACCTGTGAGTGCACTGCAATAAACTCATGGGCTTATGCACATTCAGTTTTTCCAAATGCCCCCTATCTTAATCCTCCTCCAACAAGATTAGGACTTCCTTGCCCTGCACTTTCCTCTGCCTATTTCCATAGTATCTCTACACCCCTTTACAGCTCACCCAATTCTGCTTCTAGCTCCTGTGTGCATGCTTGCAATAGCAGATTTAAGTTAGGCACTCCTTCTTCAATGACGTGTACCTTCTCCAACCTTGTTTAAGAGAGAGACTTTGTCATACAGCAGGCTGTACCTGCGTCATTACCCATCTTTGTGAAAGGTGAACCTGAAATCCTTCACTCTTCACCCTTTCACAGATCTGTGCAACAATCTGCGCTCAACAGTTTGAGCATGGACTCCATAAGGCTTTAGTGAAGTGAAACACAGCAAAAGGCTGAAGGTCTTCATTTGCTGTACCTTCTTTCTTCTTTTCTGTTGTCCCTATATCCCTGTCCTTGTTTCCTCCAATTGCCTGTACACTTAACCAGCTATTTTAAGGACTCTTTTTGTAAGCATTTACTCAGAACTAGCAGTGCTCTGGGAGATGTTCTCAAGGGGACAGCACTTTGTGTTGGTCTTCAAATAATGAATAGTAAACACAGTCTTGCTTAGGTCCATGTAGGCTTGTTTAGCCAGCATGTGTATAATCCTTCCAGGCTCCTTCTCCTTGCTCCCACCTCATGCATGCTTGCATTTATGGCTCAGTTCTGTCAGTGCTCCTCCCCCCTTTGCTTTTTCCCACAACTATTGGAACGTACCATTTTTGAAACTGGAGGAGACAATTCTTGTAAGCTCACTATCTCTCCTGGATCATTCTCTTCAGGATTGCATTCCATGAGTCTTCTAAGCAGATTCCTGAACAGGCCAACATCTGCTCTCCCAAAGTCCTGCATTGTTGATTCAACTTTGTGCTTTGTTTCCCTCCTTTCAGGGCCACAGACACCATCTAGCCACAGACAGGGCTCTTCCAAGCCTTTACATCTGCAATCGTTCCTTGTTTTCAAGGACTGTGTCCAGCAGAGCACCTCTCTTCATTGATTCATTGCATGTGTCAGGATGCTGGGAGCAGCAGACCCCAGAAACATCCTGGATTATTCACACTTGGATGTCTTGTCCCTGTAGCAGGTATGGCAGTGGCCCAAACCCCCCAGTGGTTGTCAAAAGAAGGCATCATCTGCTTTGTCTGCCACTTCTTCCCACTTAAGATATTTTTATCAGATAGCCACCACGTTGCCATACACTGGTCTGTCCACTACTCATAAGCTCTTCCTGTCTCATCATCTGCCCCAAGACAGTGCTCCTGGCATCCCTGCTGCTCCCAAACTGGGAATGTCTCACAGGAACTCCTCCTGTCCACCACTGCAGCCCATAACTCCTCAGCAGCCAGTGTCAACCCACAGCAGCATGCTGGTTGTGCGACCTGTTGCAACAACTCCCCGTGACCTTAAATGAGATCACAGCCCTGAACAACACAAAGATCTCCAGTTTCTTCTGGTTGTAGCCCAAGCTGTGGACAGTCATGTACTGGCTCTTCAGAGAGGTTCCCATTTGTGCCCACTTCCAGAAAAGAGTATGAAAGCTTTCCTCAAACTCCTAGCTAACAGGAATGGATATATGAGATGGATCACTTGACCTTTGTTGATCACTTTGATTGATCACTTGTTCAAAGTCTCAGTATAAAAGGATTTTTGTCCCTATACAGTTTATCAGAGTTATTTATAAATGAACATTTTCACATCTCTGGTACATTTCAGGTTTTTCCTGTCACTAATGTTCTAAATTTTTTTTTTTGCATTTCCTTCCCTTGTTTCACAAGGATAAAGTTTAACAAAATGCTTTGAATTAAAATGAATTCAGATGTAAAAAGAGATGGGGGCTAGATGAGCAGAGCAAAGCAGTCTTCAAACTTCTCCTTTTGAAGGGGCTTAATTATTCAAGCAGAAGTCAAAGTTTTCTTAGGCGAAAGTGCAATAACACACTTCTCATAAATGAATATGAGGTAAAGCAAAGTAGGGTTCCTTGAAATGATGCAACCACCTGTTGGAGGTGCAAGTATTTCAATGACTCCCCTTTCAGTGCTTTCTGTATGCTGAACTTCATTCTTATCTTCTGTGGAAACTGGAGGACATAGCTACTGCATAAAGAAAATGTAATCAGATTTAATCTTTCCCACATTCAAGACAGCTAAATTAGTGTTCAGTATTAAGAGGAACAAAGCACAATTTATATCATTGTCATCCCAAGATAATGTTTGTTCAGCCTCAGTTACCTAGCTAATATTCAACTCCCACAAACACCTAAGGCAGCATGTAACATGTGGCACTTCGAGATCAATTTGTATTATTTACTGCCTACTTTATACTATTCCTTTTTGAATGCATTTCTTGGACAGCTGCGTCTTGGACAGCTGACCTAGCAGTAAGGAAAGTCCTTCTAAGACTATCTAGACTGCAGCCATGATCACTAGCTGCTAGCAGACCCTTGGATGTGCGTGTCTTTGCTGTCCTGCCCCACTGTCCGTAAGGGGATTAAAGGAAGAGGCAAGGGTCTTGACAGACATTTCGGAGGTCACAGTACTCCAGAGCCATGAAGAGAGACTGGCTGACTGCATGCTCTTGTAGTGGCCTTGTGTGGACTCTGAGCTACAGTCTCAGCCTATAATGGAGCTCAAGTATTCTGGAGAGAGGTGAACAAAGAGAACAGGCTTATTATAATGACATATAGCCTGTAACAAGAAAGCACATGGGAGCGGTCCCAGGCAGCTTAGCAGCCCACATCAGTGCATAGTCATGCTTGCCACTCTCTGCTTCATGTCTGCTATGTCCACACTGTGGACACTGGCAAGAGGAGTGCCATCAAACAGCAACATGGGCTCAATCTTTGCACCTTTCCCACCTCCCAGGTGTTCAACAAGGCACTTCCTCTCAGCTGTTTCAGTCATGCAGAGCACAGCTGGCACTTCTGAACTAGAGTGAGTCCTCCTCAAGTACCTCAAGACCCCTGACTTTCTTCTTTTTCACATCCTAAAGCCACATTTCACTCTCTTGTAACAGCTGCCGCAAAGAATTCACTGCCCTTAGTGCTATCCAAGAGTTCACAAGGCTCTCAGCACACATCGCATTAGTGGATAAACAAGGCTCTCAAGGGAATGGGAGGATACCAGATTACCCTGCAAGGCCCTAGTTAGAAACAGATGGCTATCTGCCAGAACCACCACGAGGAAGCATTTAATTGCAGGATCACAAATGTTCCCAGACCTGAGGTACCTGCAATCCTGTTACTAACGTAGCTGCAGCTGAGGCAGGCTTTGGAGAAAAAGAATCCCAAACTTGCTTGTCTGCTGTAAATAGGCAAATTCTGATGTAAAAATGCAGAAAGAGAACCTGTTGCTTTAAAACAGCCACATCTCCAGGTATTAGGACAAAACTCAGGATACCTCTCACTGTATTCTCACCAGACAGCTAATGAGGGAGAACTAGCTCTGAGTTCACAGATGCCATCCCAATCCAGCTAAGCAAACAAGGAATCTCAGCCTTAAGTCCTGTCTCTTCAGACCTGCCATAACAGCCACACACTGTGCCAAATATCTACTAGCTTTTTGCTCTGCCTCAGGCTACAAAGACTTCAGGAACCCAGAACCATACTCCAACGAGGGAGAGGCTTCAAGCTTGCCAGACAGATCATCTGCAAGTCACACAGCTACACCAGCTATCAAGAGAACACATTCTGACTTCAAACCAGAAGTCCAGACTATTGGGCAAGGAGGTTTGTGGTCCTGGCAAGCTGCTTCCAAGGTGGCAGCCACCAGGAGACACAGGCTAGTGCAGCAAGAGCAAGGAATAAGGGAAAACTCTTCTACCACACCAATCCTCTGCTAAGATCTGCTTCTCCTTGATCTGTGTGATGACCCTTTATCCCTCGCATGCTTGCCAAATGTTGAGGCACTTGCAAATATGCAGCAAGGCACCTCACTTGCATGAGCTCTTTGTCACTTCAGCACATATTTGCAGTCCTGTTGCACTGCAATCCATAACAAACAAGAATCCTAAGTCCAAAGCAAGCACTGTCAGGCTTATAAGCAACAGCACCAAAGAGTTTTACTGTAGGGAAAAAAAATTGATGCTAAACCCCACTGAGAAGAGATGATTAACACACGCAAGTTAACCTTCTTTAAGGTCCCAGGACAAGCCACTAGTATCTCCTCTAAAGTCAGAAATGCTGAGAAAGGGGCCAGATCTCCACAGTCACACAAGTGATCTTTCCACACAGAATTCAAATTTCCAGGAAAAAACCCTGAAACTTTACATTTCTGAATACACAACCTTGGGTCTGGAATGCAGAGGCAGGAAAATAAGGAGCACTTAATATCTTATGTCTCAGCTTCCACCTCTCCCAGAATTAGTGCACCATATGCATGCTACAGAAATCCACAGCACAAAAGGAGGCAAAACTATGAACCAGGAACATTCTGCAAACACAAAACCTATTTCTGAACCGTAATTCTCAATTGTGATTCTTACCTCTCCCATTTTGTTCTCTTCCATTCTGACCACTCCTGGGATACTTTCCAAGTAGCCTTCCAGTGTGTCATATCCTAGGTGCCTGAAGGGAATGAACTCATTGGTCAGGGATCTGTATTCATTCTGAAGTTCTGACAAACGTACACCATTTTTAAAGGCGTGAAGAACAGCTCGCAGGGCTTTTGCAACAAGTTCTGGCTCCTGCATCTTCACCTACAGCCCTGTCTCCAAAAGAAAAAAAGAAGAAAAAAAAGAAGCATTTTTACATACAGGCTAAAATCACTGGGTTTTACTATTCAAGCTCTCTCCCTCAAAAAAACAGAATGCAACAACTCAGTCTGGAGACTGTGATACTTCTGGGTAGGCCTGTAGGGCCATGGTAGTGCAAGCCAAGCATAATGTGGTATGGAACACACAGGGCATGACAGTGTCAAAAAGTGCCGACAAAGGAGTGCAGCAGCCATCATGCACAGGTTGGCTCTGCCAGACAATCACGAGACACCACATGCACAGAAGAGGGGTGGGTGCTGCTAAGCAACTGACCCACCACAGACAAGTACTAGATACTGTACCTGTGACAGGGCAATTCTGGAGGTGTGTACAGCTGGGGAAAGAGAGGCACCATGGAAAGTGGCGTGGGGGTCCTGCCAATGGGAAGCTGAACATGAGTCAGCAGTGCCCTGGAATCCAGGAGGGCCACTCATGTCCTGCGGTGCATCAGGCACAGCATCACAGCCAGGCAAGGGAGAGGATTATCCCACTCTGCTCTGCACTGGGGCAGCCTCACCTTGAGTGCTGGGGGCAGTTTTGGGTACCACAGTATGAGAAAGACATTGAGCTGTCAAGAGTGTCCAAAGTGGGGGAACAAACATGGTGAAGGGCTGTGAGGGGAACCCATATGAGGTTGAAGTCACTTGGTCTGCTCAGTCTAGACAAGAGAAGACTGAGGAGAGACCACACTGCAGTCTACAACTTCCTTGTGAGGGTAAGAAGAGCAGCAGACACTGATATTTACACTCCTGTGAGCAGTGACAGGGCCCCTGGGAATGGCCAAAGTGGTGTCACAGAAGGTTTGGGCTGGATATCAGGAGAAGGTTCTTCACCCAGAGGGTGAGTGAGCATAGAACAGGCTCCCAATAGAAGTGGTCACAGCACCAGGTCTGACAGAGACCAAGAAACGCTTGGACAATGGTCTAAGGCACAAGGTGTGATTCGTTTTGTTTCCTGTGCAGGGCAAGGAATTGGATTTTGATGATCCTGTGGGTCATTTTATCCAATTCAGGGTATTTTGTGATTTGATGACACCTTACTACTTGCAGGGTTAAAACGTCCACTGAAAGTGAGAGAGGGCACAACCACCAGCCCCTGTCACAGCACTCCACACTCTGTGGTGCAGGTTGTCCCTCTAGAGAGACGGGAGCTGCTCCATGTGCCCCTGAGCCAGCACCTTCACTAACGCTCATGTCTCCACTCCACCATGGAAACAGCATGCATCTGGGGCATGCAACGTCTTACCCACAAGTGCACAATGCCTCGACTCCACAGACTCTTCAGAGAGAAAACACAATTTAAGTCCCCAGGAATGTGATCCTCCGACACAGGGATTTTGTTCTGGCCTTCTGTTTTTTCAGCCTGTGTTGCTCGTGTCTGGTAGGGCCATGGCATGCCCAGAGCCTGCCCCAGGGCTCTGCACTGCATGACCATCCCACTGTGCTCTGCCCAGGCATGGAGCCTTCTCAGCCTGGATCGAGGGACAGACCTGGAGCCATGTTCTGGGGACATGTCACGGTGCTCGCTGAGGCCTGCCTGGCAGCCACCTCACACAGCTCCACAGCCCTCGGGCACGTCCCAGTGCCCTGTGCCGCCTCCTGGCTGCTCCCCAAACAGCTCGGTGCTTTTCTACAGCCACGCAAAGCAGACGGCCCAAACCTGCCTTTTATCCTTGTGCAATGCATTTCATCCACATCTACAGATTCATTCCATCAGCTCTCAAGAAAGACTGCTTTACCTACCTCAGGCTTATGATTTTACCGTTACAAATCTCTCATTCATATACCTCTAGAAATGTCTATAATTAGTGGGTCTAAGTATGAATCTACTGATTCATTCCTTCGTACAGACAACTCTAAATACCTACATACCCTATGCATGAGCTGCATATAAATATTTTGATATCTGAGTACTTCCTGGCACAAGGCAGCAGGAGCTGCAACACTGAACAAAATGGCATCTCCCTCCCACAAAATGGTGGCAGAAACCTTCCAGCCAGGGCTCCGGCCCAGGAAGCCTGGGCAGCGCGGGAGGCGCTTTCAAGGCCAGAGCCAGCGCTACCCAAAGCCCTCTCAGCCCCCCAACTCGCAGGCCTGTACACACTTGGGGCTTCTCCAGGAACACCCAGCTGCGCCCTTGGGACCTTGGGGAGCGCCAGGCACAAGTGCTGCGGGGCAGGCTCTGTGCTCCCAGCTGCGCCTCCTCCTCCCAGGCGCTCGCTCACCGCAGGGGCACTCCCGCCACGGGAACTCCCTGCCACGGCCGCACACCAAAGCCACGGAGCTCTCGCACAACCCAGCAACAACCCTGCTCTCCAAGTGTGTGCTGCACACAGGCTCCACTCCAACACTGAGCACAGCACACTGGTGCACCTCAAACGCCTCGTCCTTGCCCCCAGCAGCTCATGTGCAACATGAGCACAGCCACAAGGCCACCTCACTCTCCTCCAGACCCTCCAGCTCTAGGCACAGCACCAGAGTGCCCCTCCTCCAGCACACCAAGGCCAGTGACTGCTGCCCACCTACCTGCACAAGGCTCTCTCACATCTGCAGCGCTGCCACCAGGGGCCCCATGAGAGGCTGGTGTGCCCTGTTCTCCCCAAAGAGACCCTCTCCCATCACCGCTTCCCTTCCTGGGGAGCTCACCAACTGGGCAACAACACACCAACTCCAAAAGGAAGAGAAATGCCAACCTCAGCACATTTCAGATGCCACCACACACACTTCTGGCTCTCCCTTCCTGCACCCAACCTCACGACGGTCCAGCTCCGGGGCCACACAAGGAGGCACAGCATCAAGTCCTCTTCTGCACCCTTCCTCGAACAGTTTCACTTTATGCACACACAGCACTTCACTAACCCAGCCGCACCTCTTGCTCTGTACGCTTATGTTCGCACACAGGTACACCCACGTCCCTGCACCCAGACAGACAGCACGGCCACTACGCCTCTTCACACACACGTGGCCCCTGAACCCTGCCATTTCTGCCCTTGCCGCTCCAGCGGGTTTCACCCACCGATCCTGCAACAATCCCTCAGCAGCAGCTGCCCTCACAGCCGCCCTCTGCTCAACACAGGCACTGCCCAGGAGGAGCAGCACACCCCGAACCTGCCCATCTCCACACAGCAGTGGGCAAATCTACACTGGGCACTTGCATCCTTCCCTTATCCTTTCAGAGACCTTGCAGCTGGTGCACCGAGCTTCAAAGAATCAGGAGATTTGACTGCCACCTGCCAGAAGAAAAAAACACACGAGGTTCATATATCTCACTTGGACTCACTCGGTTTCAAATGACATCATGTGCCACAGAAACCTGTGTAAGTTTTGTGTAATGTAAAGTCCTGATCATATAAATAATCCCAAACACTCAAGCATTGAGAACAATGCAGCAAAAAATGCATTTCAGTCTATAACTGTTTTTCAAGCTATATTCATTCAAGAAACATGGAAAAGTTGATAGGAAAATTTTTGAGGCCTTTTTTCCTACTGTCTCTTTTAAATTGTAGACATAATTTCTTATTTGGCTAACATGGCTCTTGAAAACTCTCTTGCCTAAACATTCTGAGTTTCTTTTCCTACTCAGGTAAAATTACCAGTATATGCACTACATCAAGGAGTGATGAAGAAAATATAAAATAACCTGGAATGGCAGTTTAAAAAGTTGATTCAGAAGAAAAACTACACTAAAAGAAGAAACTGAGGATCACGGGGGAATTACATCATTTCAATATCACACATGTTAGTTGCATACCAATGCAATAGTTGAAATATATCAGAAATAGCAAACAGCATATTATAAAGTCCATCTCCTAAACTGTATTGTAAGGAGTAGTCATGAGGACAAGTTAAACAAGTCGACAGGCACTATGGTACAAAGGTCAAACTGAATCCAGTCTCAACCCACACCTTAAAATCTTCCCATTCCTATAGTCAGCAATTACACAGACTTGCAAGGCAGTAACGGTGACAACATCGATACATTAACAGAAAGCTACACAGCTCAGAGTAGCTTCCGAAGCATTTTTAAAAATCGTTTTTGAATTAAGCTGCTTTAACATGAGGTCATTCAGCAGTTATGACATTTTCCCGGCGGTTCACTGCCTCCAGACAGCAGGACACTTCACTGGAAACGGAGCCCGAGCTGCCTCATCATCACTAAGTCAACGCACATCGTTCAAACTACCTCGGCCAGCACGTGAACCGAAACTTCCTTCGGAACGCTCAGAACGGATGATCCGCGCTGCGGATCATTAGCCGGGCTAAGGAAAAGAGGAAATGCGGACAGCTCTCCCGCAGGGAGGGGATGCACTCCCTGGTAGCCTCGCTTTCCTCAGACTACAAACACTCTCCCGGGGAACGCGTCTCCGAAGGCAGAAAGCATCCACTAACCCGCTGAAGACGGGACACTTTCTCTGTCACCGCGCAAGCACTGAGGAGGAACAGCCTCCCGCTGGCTGGCAGCGCCCGTCCCTCCGCGCTGCCTTTCCCCTCAGACCGCGAGAACTTACGCCCGACGGGGCTCCACTCCTTCCTTTCCACTTCCTCCACCCGGGGTTCTCAGGCACCGGCCACAGCTTCTTCGGGCCGCCGCCGCGGGCCGGGCCGGGCCGGGCCGAAGCCGGGCGGAGCCACCGCCTCCCTGCGCGGGGCCGCGGAATGAGGGGCTGCGCGGCCGCTCCCCGCGCCACCGCCCAACCGGCCCGGGCCGCCCCGCCCGACCCGACCCGACCGCCGCCTCCGCCCCGCCCGCTCCGGCCCCGGGCGCCTGCGCAGCGCCGTGCCGTGCCGCTCCCGGCAAGGGCCACGTGTGCCCTCGGCCGCGGGAGCCGGGCGGGACCCGAGCTGGGCTCGGCGGGGCTGGCATCCGGCCGCGCCTGTGCCGCCTCAGGCCGCCCTGCCGCCGTCTTACGGAACCGGTGAAGTCTCAGTCCTGTCACAAGGCAGCAGCCAAAGTCGCCTTCCAGAGGGAGCGGCTGAGGAATAACAGCTCCGTTAGAGCGTCAAATTCTCTTCTGCAGAGGATCATAGAATGTTAAGGGGTTAGAAAGGACCGTAATGATCAAGTCCCTCGGCCATGGGCAGGGACACCTCCCACACGTTGCTCAAGGCCTTATCCAGCCTGGCCTTGAAAGATGCCGGTGTTGGGGCATCACAGCCTCTCTGGGCAGTTTGTCACAATGTCTCGCCGCCTTCACAGCAAACAATTTCCTCTTAATATCTAACCTAAATTTCCCATCTTTCAGTTAGTACCTGATTATGCTTGTCCTGCTGCTGCAGTTCCTGACTGTGCCTTTTTGGCGTCCTCATACGACCCTTCAGATACTGGTTGCAATGAGGTTTCCATACAACTTTGTTTTCTTCAGCCCCCAACTTTCTGAGCCTCTCTTCATATGGTAAGTGCTCCAGTCCTTTCAGCAACTTTGTGGACCTCATCTGGATTTGTTCCAATTCCAATAGTTCCATGTCTTTCTTGGGTCGAGGGCACCAGAACTGCATGCAGTACTCCTGCAGATCTTTAATTAATTCACTTTAATGCCTCAATTTCAGAGTACCAAAACCCACTGAATTTAGTTCTGCAGGTGGAGCTCTCTCTTGTCAACCCAATGATGTAGTGAGAGAAATAGGGGCCAGGTGTGAAAGCCTTGAGAAGCAAGAAGCATAGAGAAGTACAGCCATGAAGTGTGATGAGATGGTGTCACAGAAGCTGTGGGAAAAACAGAAACTCTTCAACAGAATGTTTTCAGGGTTAGAGAATCAAGGCATTACTTTATTCTGCCCAGGATGTTTTTCCGACCAGGATGTGCAATAGACTTTTCACATATTTGTACATTAAACCCCAAAGAAATTCACATTCATTAGTCTTAAATTACGCAGTTCTTAGTATTCAATTTCCTACTGGCTATTGATCACCTTTGATGTTAATTGCATCTTCATTCTTTGTTTCTCTTAACAATCTTTCCCAGCCCAGGTGTCTCCAACTGCTCTAGAAGTGGTAATGTTCATTATTGTTTGTTAATAGTTATGGTTTATCTCCTGTGTATCTTCCAGCTACTTGGAATTCATAAATGTTAAGATCATAGAGATGTCCCTGGGAACAGGATCATTTGCAGAGAAACTTCAATTCCCTTCCCCCTGGGCAAAGGCAAGCAAATCCATGACCAAAGTTACATTAAAAAAATTAAAAGTGGTGTAATTTCCAGCAATTGCACAAAGGTTTAAGGCAGGGTTTGGTTTGCAAAGGCTGCTGTTGGCCCTCTGCCAGTCTGAGCAGGTGAATGGACATGTTCACCCAGGATACAGTCTCCTGCAGGCTTGCATGTCCAGGACGGAGACAAAATTCTAGACCAAATGAGTTTCACAACAAAGACCTCATTGTAGCTTGGTAATCGGATACACCACAAGTAACAGGTCTGATGGAAATGTTGTGCTGTGAGATGGGCACATGACACAGCTGTGAGAGCAACTTCTCAAACTGCCCCAAGTACACTGCGGTTATGGATTGTTGGACTGCACAGGACTAAAACCTGCATCTGTCAGCCAGGTTTCCAAAAGTGCTGCAAGTGACAGTGCAGGTCTACTCTCCTCATTTTCTTTGATGCTGCGGCAACCATAAGAACCCGTGACAACCTCAG